CAGGGAGCCCGATGCGGGGCTCGATCCCAGGACCCTGGGATCATGACCTGAGCCGAAGGCAGACGCTTAACGACTGAGCCACCCAGGCGCCCCAGTAGCTTTATATTTTAAATGTATAATAATAGGAAAAGATTTTTAAAGCATTTTTAAAAAGATTTTATTCATTTATTTGAAAGAGAGCATGAGCAGGGTGAGGGGCAGAGGGAGAAGCAGACTCCGTGCAGAGCAGGGATCCCGATCACGGGACTCTGTGATCATGACCTGAGCCAAAGGCAGATGCTTGACTGACTGAGCTACCCAGGTGCCCCAGAAGCATCTTTTTACAGAAGTTCCTTTAAGTGGTATTATTGAGTTAAAGGTTGTAGATGATCTTAAAAGTTTCTTGATGCAAATTGTCAGGTTATTATCCAGAAACATTACACTAGTGTTACCTTGCCAGCAAATAATATAATTTTCAAAACTTTGTTGCTTTATATATTTTCATATGTATCAAAAATATTAAGAAATAAAATTGTTTAAACTTTTTTTAAAGATTTATTTATTTATTTATTTATTCGGGGGAGGGGGAGAGAGAGAGAGAGAGAGAGCATTCACACACTCACGCCTGCACACAAGCAAGAGGAGCGGCAGGCAGGGGAGAAGCAGACTCCCTGCTGAGCAGAGAGCCTGATATGGGGCTCTATCCCAGGACCCTGGGATCATGACCTGAGCCGAATGAAGATGCTCAATCAACTAAGCCACCCAGGCATCCCATAATTGTTTAAACTTTAAAAAATAAATTATATGTCTACTTTGAATGCAGTTGATAGAAGTCTTATAAGTAAAATGAAATATTCTTGAGTGAAGGAAATTGAGTTATGAGAGTATTTTTGTTTGCTTAGATGTAGTCTCATACAAAATTAAACTTTTCTTTGCACTCAAAGAAAGTAGGGGTCTGTATGAGGCTGGTTAGTGCAGTTCCTGAATGAACTTGGTTATAAAATTACATAAACACTCTTAATTATTTTTTCTTCATAGTCGCCCAGCAGTTGCATTAATTCGGAAGTTAATAGCTGTACTAGAGTCTATTGAACGTCTACCTCTCCATTTGTATGATACACCTGGATCCACATATAACCTGCAGGTAACCATGAAAAATTCGGTTGCTATTATTGCTGAATGTGTTTAGGAGCAGTCTTACTTTGCTTAAGAAAACAAAAACAAGATGGAACTGGAGGGTATTATGTTGAGTGAAATAAGTCAAACAGAGAAAGACATGTATCATATGACCTCACTGATATGAGGAATTCTTAACTGCAGGAAACAAACTGAGGGTTGCTGGAGTGGGGGGTGGGGTGGGAGGGATGGGGTGATTGGGTGATAGACACTGGGGAGGGTATGTG